AAGAAATTATAAAACATGAGTACCAGCAGTCATGAAAATAATCAAATTCATTCCCCAAATGAAATTTTTCTGACATATATTCAATTTTCCTCTATGTAAAAGTATAAATGTATAATTATACTTCACTATAGAATTAGGTAGACAGTACACCAAATCCCTACTAGAGGAGTCTTAAGAATACAAATACTTTTTCCATGATTTTTTTTCCCTAAGGTTGGTTTTGGTGAGGCTTGGGAGTTAGAAGAATGTTTAAGCTCCTGGGATGATTCTTAGTTATTAAAATCAGGTTTAGGGGTATATCCAAACTGACATGTAATTAAAAACATGATTCTCTTTACCATCTCTGTGCAATCTCAGGCTTATATACAAGTTGTTAACATCCCAAGATGATTCTCAAGGGACAGAGCAAATTATATGACCAGACTCAGAAGTCTAGAGTACAACCCAGGAACCACTACTATAAATTTCACTGTGTCTGTCAATTATGAAGACATAATGCACTGGTATATATTCTAGCACACAGCTCTAGTGAAAATCTCCTTACAGCTCCTGGTATCAGTTGGCCACCTACTAATGCATCTCTTCCATTTGGTATGCTACTCCAATAGTAATGTCAACACAAGCTCACAGGGTGACTTAGGAGAGAGAATTGCAGAGGAAACCAGTAAAATGGATGCACATCTACAATCCAGCTGCAGCCCACTTATGCAAATACTCACAACCTCTTCAGATCCTCTTCCTCAGCATGGAGGGGAGATGTGCCAATTCTCTGCATCCCAGTACTGGGGCTCATTTGAAGAAGATCCTACAAATTAAACGATGAGCTTCCCTCACAAGGAAGAGAAGGTACATGCAATTGGTCTGGAAATGGAGGCTGGACTTGCCAGGCTTACTAGGTATCTATTATTACAATTATGCTTAAGAAGCATAAAGCTTCTTGCATTGTATAGTAAGAAGTAATGAAATATTGTGTAAGTGACTATAAGGACCTTAATTTAACTGATTAATAAGAAGTCACATCCACTATTTTATCAAAACATACCAAAGGCATTTGGCCAGTATGCTTTTAGAAAAGATTATCACTCCTTTGTAATGGCGTTTCCTTCCTTTCTCCTTTGCTCTCTCCCTCCCTCCCAACCCATTCCTTCCTTCCCTCTCCTTTTTTTTTCCTCTTCTTTCCTCTCTGTCTCCCTTCCTTCCTTCTTTTTTACTTATGGGGCTTGGGTTTGAACTCAGCATTGATTTAGCTTCTTTGATGGGCTGGTGCTCAACCACTCGAGCCATGCCTTCAGCCTTTTTGTTGCTTATTATGAAGGCTAGACCCAAATTACCATCCTCTGGCATTCAGCCTCCTAAGTAGCTAGGATTACAGGTACAAGCCCCCGGCACATGGTTTGTAATTGTGTTTTAATGGAAAGATGTGCTTTGTATGTATAGAATTGATTTAATACCTTAAAGCAAGTCTAACCTACCAGGATTGTCAATACAGCAGACTTCTGTGGGAAGGCCTGGCAGCAGATACATCTGGGTACAATATAAAGGCCCCGGCTCTAGATCTTTTCTGCATTTCTCTGTAATCTTAATATTTATTTCATTTCTAATACCAACATTACACCTGTCCTCTTTCCTTGACCTAATTCATCTGTGGCACTAAATGGAAGAAAGAAAACAAAACCTGTTCCATTTAGTAGAGAACCAGACCATTATTAAACACTTCATTCCATCAGCAAAAGTATACAGCTCATGTAAATCCAACGTTATAAATAAAACTAAAATTGGATCCAGTGAAAGAATAGATCTTTGAGCATGTGGAGTCTAGCTGGAAATATGATTGTACAAAGGAATAGAAGTCACTTTAAGCAACACACACACATAAACAAATTAGGTGACAACACAATTAGGTGTTTCCACTGGTGCACAGAGTTAATGGCAGTCGGGTAGGGGAGTCTATGGAGGCACAGAACCAGATGTAGATGTAGAGGAAACCCAGCTGGCAGAGAACTAGGAAATTGTCTGTTGGTGGGTGAGTGGGTGAGAGTCATTGGACAGAAGTCCTGAGTGGAGAAGAAAAGGAAGGAGCCATGAGTACCAGCCAGCCCACAGCTAGAAAGCAGGAGACTCGTTGGACACATGCCTCACGGGAGATAAGGTGACTCACACATCGGGACTAGTTATATAAGGGCACATGGAGAGGACAGTGGCAGGCAAGGTTTTCATGCTCAAGGAAGAAGACAGAATTACACTGATTAAAAGACCCCAATACAGCAGTAAACACCAATATGCAGCTACTGGCTAGTCATAGGTTCAGTTAGAATTAGGAAGTGAGAATTACAGCCTCCTATTTTTCTAGAAAAGAATGTGGAAAATTGGGAATGATTCTGCAAATGTCATGATTCTCCAGGGAAACCATCTGGCCCCCAAGGTTCTTTTTCTGAGGCTTTAAATGGAAAACTCTCTGTCTTTAATGGTCACAGGACAATTTGGATAGCCTGTTTCACCTTGGTGAGTTTGTGGTTGTAGAGGACTCACATCATTGTGGTTGTCAAATGTTTTAGTGCAGAGTTGATGGTAATATTCCTATTATCCTCTAAATGACCAGAAGGTCCAAAATGATATCCTTTATTTCTTTTCTGCGACTGGAGATCTCTATCCTTTTGTCATCTTGCCTAGAGGTGAACCGATTTTATTGATTTTGTTCAAAGAATCAGCTTTTTGTTTCTATTCTCTTCACTACTGTTTGTCTATTTTCACGTTCATTGATTTTTCTGCCCCTGTCCATTTTCTTTCATCCGTTTTGCTTGCTTCTAATTTGTTTTTGCATTTCTTTTTTCTAGTTTCTTAAGAACTAGATTATTGACTTGAAGCTTTTGATGCTCTAATTTTCCCCGGGAATGAGGCCCAATTTGCCTCAAGATACTATGTATTCATTTTCAAAACCTTGACTTTGCTCTACAAACCTGACTTCACAGATAAAATCTTCTTCCATTTTATTCCAGGCCCCTAACTCTACAGTTCTACTCTCTCTGCCCTTTCCCCTCTTAAGTCATGCTCTAGGAAGAGCTTCAGTAAATTCCTCCTCCTGAAGGTATAATCAATCAGCAGCACTCTCATTTTAACAGGACATCCAGTTTCCAGCTTGACAGTCTTAGGCGAAAGGAAATGCCACTACTGCACCCCAAATCACGACTGGTAAGAACGGATCCACTGGTTGATTTGTCTACAAAGATTGTAGACAATGCAGAGCATGACTATCAAATTATATCCATATTTTTCCATGAAAATTTAATACTAGAAACTATTCAAAGAATGTAATATTAAGATATGCTTTCCAACTATGTAACTGATTCGTGTTTATGTATGTTTTAATACATTAAAAGAGTCAACTATTTTTCATCTTCAGAGGGTTAGGTTTTAGTTGGATGCTATAGGTTCATGCCTATAATCCTAGCTACTCAAGAGACTGAGATCTGAGGACTGCAGTTCAAAGACATTCTGGGCAAAAAAGTCCATGATACTGTTATCTTCAATTAATCAACCAAAAGCTGGAAGACGAGCTGTGGCTCAAAGAGTAGATTGTCAGCTGTGAATTTAAAAAGCTAAGGGACAAAACACCCAGGCCCTGAGTTCAAGCCCCAGCATCAGCAAAGCAAACAACCAACCAAATAAACAAATCTCACTCCCTGAAGAAGATATAAACACTGCTAAACCCATAAACTTAATAAAAAAAAGGGGGTGACACTGATCAAGATGAATTGTATTCATATACTCCTTTGTTAAATGGCAGTTCCTTTGTACAACTACTTATTATTTTTTTTAAAAATTCATGAACTTGAAGCATACAGTAACTGAACTCATTTTGCCCAAAGTGCTTACTGCCTCTGTAACGTTTAGTGAGATACCAATGGTTAAAAACCATCTTTCCTTTAAATTGAAAACGTCTTGAACATCAAAGCAAAATTTTATGCTCCCCATTCCCTTCCTAAAGTCCTCACTCATTTCCTAAAGTCTCACTCACTTCCTGAAGTCCCACTTCCTGCCTTGTCTTCTACAAAAGCATCTCCAGAATTAGCAATTGTTCCCCTGGAGTTAATCCAACCTCATCTGTTCTTTCTTCAGTTTTAATGGTTTCTGGTTATAATGTGTGCTGCTCCATTGTCTGTTGCTAGTAGTACAGTACCACAAATGAAGCAATTAATTTTTTTAAAAAAGTTTGCTCTGAGCCGGTACCAGTGGCTCACACCTATAATCCTAGCTACTCAGGAGGCTGAGATCTGAGGATCACGGTTCAAAGCCAGCCCGAGCAGAAAAGTCCTTGACACTCTTATCTCCAATTAACCACCAGAAAACCAGAAGTGGCTCTGTGGCTCAAGTGGTTGAGCGCTCTCCTTGAGCTGAAGAGTGCAGGGACAGCGCCTAGGCCCAGAGTTCAAGCCTCATGACCGATCAAAAAAAGGTTTGCTCTGGCTCATGGTTTAGGGAGCGAAAGGCTGGGAGCTGCATCTCACGACGGTCTTCTTCCTGAGGCAGATCAGGGCATCAAATGACAAGAAATAGGGAGCATGTGTGTCCCTTGTCACTGTCTCTCTTCTTATAAAAGCACTAGTATTCGATTGTGAGGACTGTACCCTGATATCTTTATAAAAACCAGTTGCTTGCCAGGTGCTGGTTACTCATGCCTGTAATGCTAGTTCTGCAGAAGGCCGAGTGGCATGGGCAGACAAATCTAAGAGATTCTTATCTCCAATTAACCCAGACGTGGAGGTGTGGCGCTAGTGGGAGAGTGAAAGCACGAGACCCTGAGTTCAACACACACACACACACACACACACACACACACACACACCCCACTTTCCAGAAGGCCCCATCAAAGTTAGTTAAAGTTTTTCCCTTCCCACTGTTCTCCACAAAAGGATTAAACTTTCACAGGCCATACCCTATCCTAAAAACACACATTCAGTTAAATCGCTTCCCTCTCTCAAAACTAGCTCAAATGGACTCACCTCCTGCCTCTTGAAGTTCTGGACATATTCTTCAAACTGTTCGTCTTTCGTCTCATCAGCTTTTCCCAGCTTCTGGAGGACCTAGTTTGTGAATAAAACAAACCCCTTTGAGTGGAAGCGTCCTGTTTTCATGGCTTTGAAACTGTGTAGACTTGGATTTTCATCATAGACTCACCACCCAAAAGCTGTGTGATTCTGGGTTAGGGCTGCACTATGGTGCATTTGTTTATTCTTATACCAGCTTCCTCCAGGAGGCAGAGCAGACAGACTGAGCCATACTTGTCTTTTTAGTCCGAAGCAGGGGCTACAATGCTTGATGCACCACAGGTACTCTGCTGTGCATTAAACAGTAAATCAAAGCTATCTGATTCAGATATTCCCAGGATATATCCCCAGATATTCCCCTTCCAGTAAACCCTTCTCTTCAATAAAACCCTCATAGAAACTATGGGATACATAGGGCTTCTCCTCCTGAAACACAAAGAAAAAGAACCAAATACAGCCAGGGCATTGATCCTAAGAAATATACACCTAGTAGAATAGGCAAAACAGGTTCATAAAACAAATTCAAGACTGTGTGTGCTCTTAGCCATACTCCTTAGAAGTAAAGTCTTTCCAGAATTCTTTGTGGTAGTTATTTACATATTATATTTACATATTCCAATCAACAGGATTGTATCACAGTTCATTCCTTCCTAGGGGGTAGTTTACACAAAGATCACAAGAAAAAATCATTATGTATTGCAGAATGGGGTATGAATAGTTCAGTTTGCTTAGGATATCAGGGGCAGTACTAAAATGAACAGTTCTTAAAACAACCTAGAAAGTCAACTGGGGATGGAAAAGTATGCTGAGGGCCATGACTGGATTTTCTATTTTCATATCTGGTACCTAAAACACCAACTCATTCAATAAAATGGAAATTTTGAAAACACTGCCACCTAGAAATGCACAGTCCTCTATAACATTATCCAAACATCTTTTTGTCAAAAAAGAAATATGTAGCTGGGCGCTGGTGGCTCACACCTGTAAATTCTAACTACTAAGGAGGCTGAGATCCAAGGATCACAGTTCAAAGTGAGCTGGGAAGGAAAGTCTGTGAGATTCTGATCTCTAATTAATCACCAGAAAAACCAGAAGTGGTGCTGTGGCTCAAGTAGTAGAGCACTAACCTTGAGCTGAAGAGCTGAGGGACAGCGCCCTAGGGCCAGAATTCAAGCCCCACAACCAACCAAAAAAAAAAAAAAAAGGAAAATAAATATGTGAGCATTAAAACTTATCACTATGCAGGGCCAGCTGTACTGGTGCACACCTGCAATGCAAGCTTTTCTGAAGGCAGAAGTCGAAGGATCAAAGTCCAAGGCCAGCCTGAGGCAAAAATACAAGACCTTATCTGAAAAATAAGTAAATAGGGATGGGGATGTGGCTCAAGTGGTGGAGCACCTGCCAAGCGGGCCTGAGGTCCTGAGTTCAGACTTCAGTACTGCCAAGAAACATGTTCTCCCTAAATATTGCCATCATGGATTTTCGGAAATTAAATAGTTTATTGATAGATATAAGTAGCTCACTTCTTGGCAAAGGTAAGGGACACACCTTCTAGAAGGTGCTTAACCAGTAGTTAGGGGCTAAACAAGAGACCTGACCATCAAACAGGCAAATGGAATAGTCAGACTTCAAATACTTTCTAGCTCTGGGGCATTATTTCTCATAGTCGGTCTCTTCCTTTGAGATAGATGCAAGTTCCAGAGAAAGGAGACAAAGAGAGTTTTATCAGACTTGCAGAAGACTTGCACATGCAAGGAGCTCAGGAAACCCAGCTGCGTTAGGGACTGTGAGGGATGATGGAATTAGTCTGTGACCTGATCTGGAACTGAGGAACACAAGGCTGGTGTGATAGGCAGAAGATGGATTATGACAAAGAAAGAAAGAAAGAAAGAAAGAAAGAAAGAAAGAAAGAAAGAAAGAAAGAAAGAAAGAAAGAAAGAAAGAAAGAAAAGAAAGGAAGGAAGGAAGGAAGGAAGGAAGGAAGGAGAAAAAGGACATTAATTTCCTTGTATCGATCAGGGAGAGCCCAGGAATTGATTCCCCTGAGGGAGTCATATGACAAGTCTTCATTCATTGATGACAGTGTTAAAGATAGATTAGAAGAGATGGAGACCAGCATATTGAGCCCAGCTAAGGGGATATATATTATTTTTTGGTTGGTTGTAGGGCTTGAACTCTGGGCCTGGGCGCTGTCCCTGCGCTCTTCAGTTCAAGGCGAGCGCTCTACCACTTGAGCCACAGCGCCACTTCCGGTTTTCTGGTGGTTTATTGGAGATAGGAGTGTCAAGGACTTTTCTGCCCGGGCTGGCTCTGAACCATGATCCTGGATCTCAGCCTCCTGAGTAGCTAGGATTACAGGTGTGAGCCACCGGTGCCCAGCTAAGGGGATATTGTTAAAGGCCAGGCAATAATCCACTGAACCTACTAGAGAACAGATAGGACAAATCTTTAAGAAATATAATCCGCAGTGCTTAACAGCTTATGTGATGAAAAACAGGAAGGATAGACAAGAGTCAAAAATCACCACAATGCTGGGTGCCAGTGCTCACACCTATAATCCTAGCTACTCAGAAGGCTGCGATTTGAGGGTTGTAGTTTAGAGCCAGCCCAGGTACCAAAAAAGCCAGAAGTGGAACTGTGGCTCAAGTGATAAGAGTGCCATCCTTGAACAAAACAAAACAAATAAAATTCAGGAACTTGAGTTCCAAACCCAGGCCTTGAGTGCAAGCCTAAGTATTGGCACAATAAAAAAAAATAAAAATGACATGGGAGCAATTAAAAATACTGAGAAGTATTTAATCTGAAATGAGGAGTGGAATACTAGGTTTCCAGCTTTCAAAACGGTAGTTAGTATTAGAAATCAAAGGGAAAATTCACTATCTTCCATTTCTCAGGAAAGTAACTCCTGTTAATTAATGGAAAAAAATTTAAATAGGTCAAGCTATGGTGAAGTGTGACCCCATCTACAAATGCCAGTCCTGTGAATCAAACAGTGGGGAGGTTGATAAAGGCAAAGATGAAGACAAGGAAGAAGTTCAAGATGAAGGCTGAGGGAGGGCAGAGGCACATTTCCATGCATGACCCAACACTGTGACAAGAGGAATAATTACAAGGACTTTGAAGGCTTGCCTCCTGGGTTGTCTTAGGGAGATTCATGCAGAAGATGAGGGTTCAGATTGGACCAGCTTCCAGCTCTGAGTGATTCCCTTCTTGTTACTTTTTGTCTTGCCAAGATCAAGAGAAGAACACATACAGTTATGTATACATGTGCACTGAATCCAGTGGGCATGGAATGGCAGGGGCTCTTGTAGACAGGACAGGGAGGGGTGATCTGCAATCAGATGACTCATTCCTTTCTTTCTCCATATGTTCACAGCCATGTGCTCACCAGGCAGCATCAATCCATTGCCCATTCTGACACTCCAACATTCCATAACCTGGTAGTGAAGAGGCCATAGGGGAAGGGGAAGTCAGTACATCCTAGCAATTTCCAACTGCATTCTATTATGCGTGTGCTGCGTTGTGCCTTGTCTCAGGATAATGATGCTCTAGCTACTTTCTGAGTGTGTTTCAGGACTTAAGACACGTGGCTTGGGTGCCATGAACCTCCAGTCTCGTCAGATTATTCAAGTTAATCCACATGCTTCTTTACCAGGAAGGAATGAGAAAAATCACCAAACCTGGATCTTTTAGTGTGGTTCTTGAGTCCACACATTGTTTTCTGGGAGATTTATTTCTATAGAATTATAACAGCCAGCCTTTGCCTAGGCAGATTTTCAACAGTACAATCACCATCATGTCCTCAAAAGCCTCTCAGGCTGACAAGAGCCTCGCTGCTAATTCTGGGAAAGAATTAGCAAAACAGACAAGAGGTTAGGCTCACAGCTTCTGTCTCATTTCAGAGCCTTCAGACATTAAAATTCTGAGACTAACATACACAGGGAGAATTTGAGTATCTTCAACATCCGTAGCTTCTAAGCAGAGCAAAGGAAGCAGGAAATAAAAGCGCTATAGAGGAGAGATGGATCATTCAGAGGCCAGGAAAGGAAACAGAGGCTTGGGAGAGAAGGCCTCTCAGATGCAGTGGCAGGAAGTACCAGCCAGTTCTGCTTTCCAATCTCACGTCTCCCTCAGAAGATGTCATGTTGCGTAATTCTCTTCTCTCCTTCTGAATTCATTAAAGCTGAGGACTTCTAGTCCTCCAACTTAAAAGAAGAAATCTCAGTGGGGAAAGATGAGTGGACATCGATCTCATAGACAGAAGTGGATGTGGCACCCAGGCCCTCCTCTCTCTGGGTTGGGTCACCTTTTCTCAGAACTCCTTTGCCATGAAACCTGATTCCTTGGAAATCTAGGCCAGAGTTCAAGTTGTCTACCCAGGTTCAGAGGAAGCTTACTGGTCTTCCTCCCATTCCCCCAAGGCTCAGCGATGGACCAGGACTTCCTTCTCTCATGGCTCCTTCAAGGAAACTTACCTTGTAGCAAGACTGCACAAGATGATACAATGGTTCCCCAACTTCACTGGTTTATTTCAATTAACCCCCAGCCCCTCAGTGCGAGCAAGCAATTCCTCCATCTACCACTGGCCGGATGTTATAGGAGAAAACTCAGGTCTGTCCTATAAAGATGATTCTGCGAACATATATATAGCCACAGATGCCAGGGAGGTTTCCCACCTAGCAATTCACCAGAGAGCAGGCGTGTTCTTCACTGCCTCATGCAGATCTTCAGGCTGACTTTAGGGTGACAGTTACCCACCAAACCGAGAGAAGGTGATCAGCAACTGGAAAAAGTAGACCTGCAGCACAGTATTAGGGAAGATGTTGATTCAGGTAGGATGAAAGTCTGAGCCAGGCCACCAGTGGCTCACATCTGTAATCCTAGCTACTCAGGAGGCTGAGATCTGAGGATCATGACTCGAAGCCAGCCTGGCTCCACTAAACTACAAAAGAGCTGGAAGTGGAGCTGTAACTCAAGCAGTAGAATGCTAGCCTTGAGCACAGAAGTTCAGGGATAGTGCCCAGGGTCACAAAAAGAAAGAAAAAAGAAAGTCCATAAATATGTGTGGAAGATATTAGATGGGAGATGCAGGTGGCCTCAAGTGTTAGATACCTCCATGAGTCATCAATTGAGGGAATCTTCTAGAAGAGAAGAGGCGTTTTTTGTCTTTCCTCATCCTGTAGAAAATGACAACTCCAGTAATCATTCATTTAGGAACTATCACCTATGGAAACTTGGGAAATATAGCAGACACAGTGGTCAATGTACTGAATCCCCTCAGTACTCTTGTGAGTTTGGTTACAGTGATGAGCCTCTTTTTATTTAGGAGACCATGTAGCTCAGCACAGTGGAACTAGCTATGCAAACATCAGAGATGGAGTCATTGGGTAGCGTTGAGCAGCTACTGTATAACCCAGCCTGGATGCAAAACAGACAGGCTGATGTCAGAGCTGGCTCCTAAGCCAAACACTGTACTGCCCAATGCAAGCAACAGAGAAAAAAACAGTTTGATGGCCACATTCTTCCCCTGACTGTCACCTGTTTTTTCCTGCCCCCATCAACTGATTATATCACATGATCAAGAATGCTAATATATATATATTTTTTAAGCTGCTTGGCCTGGCCCTCCTGAGGTTCACTCCTGTAATCTTAGCTACTTGGGAGGCTAAGAACTAAGGATAGAAATTTGTAGCTGGCCTGGGCAGAAAAGTTTATGATACACTCATCTCCAATTAATCAGAGAAAATCTGGAAGTGACAGAATGTCAGTCCTGAGCAAAAAAAGCCAAGCAAGAGCATAAGGCTTTGAGTTCAAGCCCTGGTACAGAAACAACAACAAATAAAAAATAAAAAAAACCTGGAAACAATCTTGGCTAAGAACATGATTTACAAGCAATTCTTTGTAGCTCCACAAATATCACCTGGTTGTTTGTCAACCCCCAGAATAACACATGTAGGCAGCAACATGGCCAGTCCAAGCAAGGAGACCATGAGGGCATGTCCAGGTTCCTAGTGGTCATCTTTACTGGCATCTGGCTCACTTTTCTCAAAGTATTTGGGGTGACTTCAGTGCTGTGGGCATTTTTCATTCAGATCAGCATGAAGTGAATTACTAAAGGGGAAAAACTATTGAACACATTTTTCATTATTATCTTTAGACAGATGTACAAAGGAGTTGCTGTTTAACAAAGCAATTTATGAATAAAATATACTCGATCAACTCTCAACTCTCTTTTCAACTCTCTTCCTCAGCCCCCCCTATCCTCCCTTCACTTGTTCGTAATTTTGTGGGGTGTACATTGGATTCTTTTTTTGGGGGGAGGGGTCTGGTCATGGAGCCTGAACTCTGGGCCTGGGCGCTGTCCCTCAGCTCTTCAGCTCAAGGCTAGCGCTCTACCACTTGAGCCACAGCGCCACTTCTGGCTT